CCAGGGTCAGCAAAAGACCTCGTTTCAGGAAATGAAGAGAGCAATCAAAGAGGACACCTAACATTAACCTCTAACCCTTAAACGTATGCCCAGGATCAACGTCTGGCATTTCCATGCATCAGCACACACGTACAAAAACACATGCATAAAAACACACTCTGTACATCCATATGCATACAAATAAAAATACAGGTTCCTGTCTCGCATTCAATGGTGAGAAACATCATTCACTTCACTGCAATATAACCTTGAGTTCAAATACAGCAATTGAAGCTACAGCTGTAACTTACAAATTAGATAGATCTTGATTCCACAGCATTTGTAATTGGGTTGCTGGAAGTACCTGTGAGTATATTAGAATAGAACCCTTCAGCTGCCTCAGAAATCAAAATTACAGGCAGTAGGAAGAGGGCAGCTTGTGAGATGCTACGTTAGAAGCCTTGCATCCTAATGTTTTCCAGTCTCTATGGATGGTTTGAAAATGTGTCAGGCTTGTTCTTGAGGATTTCACATGCAAACTTGGCAGAACTCAAATAGGCACACACTATTTTGGAGTGGGAAAGATGTGTATCTGAGAAAGAGGTCCACAATCTTGCCTGACTTAGGAGAACAAGGACAGTGTAAAAACAGGACTTGGATGTGGAGGTTCTTGGCTTTCTCCCTAAGACCTCATGCTGCCTCCTTGTTTTAACTTGAGGCCTTGTGGCTGCAAACCAGCATAAAGCAGCCAAGCAAGGAGGCATCCACCTTGTGTTTTACTTCCTCATAAGGGATTTAGACTTTGTGGCCATTTGTCTAGTGTTTGAAATCTAGACGGGGTGCAAAGCTCCACATTCCATTTTAAAAGTCCCCGGTTGTTTGTTTGTCTGTTCTTTTTTCTGTATCTTGAAGGACTTTGAATGCCTGTTAGAGGCTAAGCAGAATGCTTAGCAAGTATATTCTAAAGAATCTTTCTACTGGTGGAATATATAGTATGGTCCTGGGAAGACAGCTGAGTGGGAGCAAGCACTTGCTTTCTAAGTGTGAGAACCCAAGTCTGAATGCCAAGTGCACAGGTAAAATATTAGGCATAGCTGCATGTATCTGTAACCCCCAGACTGGGGAACTGGGGAGTGGAAACAAACAGATCCAGATCCCAGAGCTCATTAGTAAGCCAGTCAAGTCAATATGAATCTTGGGCTCGAAACACACACACACACACACACACACACACACACACACACACACACACACACATACACATACTCCTAATGGTAGATCCTACTGGTATAATTGTAAAAGCAAGGCAAATAGCTCCATGGACGTAGGCCCTAGTCCCAGGACCTACATAGTGGAAGGAGCAGTCCAACTAAGCAGCAATTTGTCCTCTTTATTTTGAGACATGTGCAGTGACATACACATGCCTCCCCCCATACTATATATATGTATATATGTATAATTTTTAAATAAAGAGAAATTACAATATACTTACAAGTATCTTTAAAATCCTGCCTCTCTCCTCCTCTTTACTCTTCCTTCATCCAAAGGTCCACACCTACGGAGCACACATAACCTGAGCCTCATGGGCCTTTCTTATCAAAGGTGAACAACCATGTAGAAAAGTAGATAAAATTATCAGAGGTGTGCCATGTGGCATTAAGGGTGGACAAGGCTGGAATGTAGCCTTCAGAAAGGGTGGACAGAAAAGGAGGCAGCATTTGGACATTTAACCCAAAACATAAATGCTGAAATGGTTCAAGTGTAAGAAGAGTGAATGGTCAGGTCCTGAGACTGGATTTACCTGTGTCTAAGGACTATAAATGAGACCAGAGTGCCTAGGACACAGGAACCATGGGCTTCATGGGAACAAATTAAGGACTGAAAGGGAGATAGAAGATACGGTTCTGGAGTCCATGGGAAACCACTTAAGCAGAAGAATGGTGAGGTACAATTTACATAGATTTACATTTAATTAAACAGAGAAATGGGTGGGTGAATAGAAAACAAAGGATGGATGGACAGAGTACATGGATCCGAAACTATAAATAACTTTTAATTTGAAAGGATTCAAGTTGGGCAAAGATTGCTGAATTCGAGCTGATATAACATGGGTGTCCTCTACCATGGTAGTGATACTATATGTGGAATTCAGTGAGTAAATTCCTGTTTTCTTAAGGTTGCTGGTTTGTTGGAATTGGGGCCAGGAGAGTTTCATGGTCTGATTACATCTTGTCCAGTTTTACCCGAAATGGTGGTGTATAAGATAATATCATCCCAGGTCAGATCCTAACACGACAGCCAGACACATGTAGCCCTCACTCTTGTGGAAGTCTCTGGGAACTGCTGCTCTTTGTTCAGGCCATGCTTAGCCAGCTCTGGGGACACTAGGGTGCCTACGTGCCTGGCATGTCTGCTGAAGAAGCACTCCTCAAGTCCCCATCTTCCCTAATAACCTTGTGTCTAAATTGTGGTGTCATACAAGGGCGTGTTTGGAAATTAGCATCTGAAAGAAGCTTCCGTGCTCTCTGTTAGAGCTGACATGGTCCCTTTTCCTCAGTGGAAATGAAATTTATTAATCATCATAAAACCATGGTATTCTGAAGGTAGCGGTCACCCCGAGGAGAACGAGAGACTTCTCATTTGGGAGGAACAGTTTGGGGCTGCTGTTTTTTTCTTCAGTCTTCGAAGAGAGTGTTGCCAAGTTGTTACCTTGGGTTTTCTGCAAGTGTTAGAGTCTCAAAGTGATTAGAGCAGAAAAGAGGATGGAAGCTGTGCTTTTCATTCAGTTCCTTCAGCTTTTCCCCAAGAAGTGGACTCCTATAGATGTGCAGGTACTTATGAACATACATGCTTGTGTATGGAGGCCAGAGGACAACCTGCCATTCCTTAGGACACTACATACTTCCTTCTTTTTGGGGGGGATGTTCTGTAATTATTTCTCACTGGCCTGGAATTTGCCAAGTAAGCCAAGCTGACTGCTCACTAAGTTCCAGGGACCCACCTGCTTCTACCTCCCCTTACCACCACACTTAGCATTTTTTAAGATAAGAGCTTGGGAACTCTAACTCAGGTAAAACAAGAACCTGACCAATTCAGCTCTCTTCCCACTCTAAAGTATACTTTGTTGTCACAGTAAAACTATTGTCCAAATTAAAAACAAGTTGTTCTAAATTTCCATCTTCACACTCACAGTGAGGAACTCTGTGGGCTATTGCTTAACATATGCCCTACGGTCCTTGTCTTCTGTTAATGTAACCAGATTTGCCAAGTGAGATATTAACAAACAATACAAATCTATAGAATAGAACCAAATGCAGCCATCATGTTAGCATACCCTCATATCCTCCAGCCTTGACCTTGAATCTACTACTACTCTCAGAAAGTGGGTTCTGGTAAAAATTTTTGTTTTTAATGAACAAAGGCACACAAAGGTATTTGAATGAAAGAAAAGGGAGCATGAGATGACCATTTGTTAGCTTCAAAGAGAAGTGTGTGTCTGAACAGAAGCACCCATTGCAGCATTGCTGCAGAGGACCTGGGAGCCCTGGCTGGGTGCTGAAGACTGAACTATGCGATTTCAGCTTCAAGCTCTTGAAAACAGGCAGGGAGGGTGTGGCAGTGAGAGAATGTTCTTGGAATTTGTATTTCTTGGCCATTGGGAAGCTAATTGACTTGCCAGCAGGGGAGAAAGCTCTAACATGCAACCAACAGAGTCACTGTCCAGATCACCCTTCCCTGCCTTTTTTGATCTTGCTATGCCTGCCTCTTTCTCCCCTAGAGAGCACTCTCTTCAGAAACCACATGTGCTAGAGTCTCCATGGCAGACTTACCTTGAGGGACCCTATTCCACCCTATCCTTTCCATCTGCAGATCGCATCTGAGCTTTGGTCAGTATCAACATCTCATTGTTCAAGCCTTCTCCAGAAAGTTGTCTGTGAAGGATGTCAAACAAGCAAGGACGTATTACGAAGCAAGTGTGCACGTCACCCTGAGAGGTTCAGTGGTCCCCACCAGTTCTATCCAACATGTCACTAACGGCATGTGAAGTAAACTCATGATGTGTGTAGTGTTCCATCCTAGGAGTTCACTGAAAACCCAGGGCACACGCTTTCCATCCCCTGTTCATTTTCATTCTAATGCCAGCCTTGGACGCTATAGTAGTTGAGGCAAGAAAGATACAGGAGAGAAGTCAAAAGTTCAGGAAGTACTACTGAAATACCTTGCTCCAAATATTGCTATTTCAAGAACTGGGCCAAGGATGGATGAGATACGGGGACGAGAAATCAAAACCAAACCAGGCTATGGTGTCTATGCTTGACCCAGGGGCCCCACAGTCCCTTCATGGGTGTCATGCTCTTTGGCAATCTGAAGTATTGGACAGGAGCTTCACTGACAGATCACTGCACTCTTTCTGAAGTATCTAATCTCATTTGCTTGGTGACAGTCAAATCAGATGGAAAGACATCTACCTACCCATCTACTCTTAAGCATTAAATTATATCTGGGACACTGGAATTCTCAAGAACAGTCTCTCTAGTGTTTGCTTCCTGCCTGCCTCAAACTCTGATGTAGCTACCTCACAGTGGGGGAGAATGTAGAAGTGTGTGTGTGTGTGTGTGTGTGTGTGTGTGTGTGTGTGTGTGTTTACCATCACATGCCACATCTATGGCAGTGGTCCCTGAGATCTTGCCACCAAGGTTTTCTTGGTTTGTGTAAATGTACTTTGTGATGTTCCAAAGACTAAGTCATACAACGATGCACTTCTCAGAATGAATCCCCATCATTAATTTGCACGTGACTGTATATGGAATACATCCCTATGACCAGCTGTGTTAAATGGACCACCATGCTCAGACTAAGTTTCTTAGTACACCGTGGTGGAGTGGGGATGTTTCGTGTTTTAGGGTAAGCACAGCCCCTCTGTGATGTCTTGGTATTCCGCATCGTATGTTGGAGTTACTGCGCTGTTTGCGCTGTGCCTGTGTGTGATGGACCAATCTCACCTCTTCTTCCCTTCGCAGTTACGGACGAGTTTATGCTGCAGACCCCTACCACCACACACTTGCTCCAGCCCCCACCTACGGCGTTGGTGCCATGGTGAGTAGCAATTCCTCCTTGTCCTCTGCTCTTCCTGCCTTTCTCCCTGCCCTCCCACCCCCAGCTGGGGCCTCAGTATGGGCTGATGGTTGAAGTCCTCTCACTTTCCCTTAATTGAATTTGTCTCTTGTGCTAACAGCAGCTAAAATGCCACATTAATCCTCCCAGTAAACTTGATAAATGTCTTAATTTCTTGGCAATATAGTGCATGTAAGTTATTATATTTCTAATTTTGCAAGTCTCACCTAGCGAGCACTTACCTTAATGGAATAATTAGTCATTTTGATAATTAAATCCATCACTAACGGAATGCAGTGTCAATGCAGAACTTTTTTTTTCCTTTTTTTCCCTTCCCTCCCGTGCTGCTCATTCACATAGCCCCAAGGTTCCAGCCCCAGCACAGACTTCAGAGGAGCTAAGCTGCACACTTCCAGGCCTCTGCTGTCAGGCAGCTGAGAATCTGCCTGCCTCTCCTCCCCTTTTACAATTCATGTTTAAAGTCATAGTCGCCCAGGAGAGAAAGTAGACAGCGGGGCACACTTTGTGTGTGTGCCTAGTATATAAGAAATTAAGGAATCAGCTGGCTTTGGGGGTTGTCTTGTTTTCCTTTTTTTTTTCCTTGGGGAGGTGGGAAGTATGGGATTTTGTTTTTGTTTTGGGACGGGTAAGGGGGAGGGCAAAGGGGGGGCAAGGGTGGGGTGAATTTGCCTGTACTTGTTCAAACTTCTATGCACTAAAACTCTTGAGTCCAGTAAGACGTGCCCATCGCGTGAGAGCATATGCGATCATTACAGCGCTTTGGCATGCAGTCTTCTGCTTGAGTCAAGAATATCAGTCCTCTTCCTAAAAATCAGCCCCACAGGCATTCACTGGAATCGCCAATACTTTCAGCAAAGGAAATGGCTAAGTGTCACCTCATAGCCGTAGAAAGCTCTGGTCAGACAGTTCCCTGGTCATGTAAACTCAAGCAGCAGTAGGAAAGCCTACCACTCTACATTTACACAAGCTTAATCATATCCAGCATACCCCTGTCCCACCCTTCCACAGTCAGAATCCATAGGTTCCTAGCTTCATCCAGAAGCATCCCTCCCCCCCTTTTTTTCTTCAATTTGGTATGCAACAACCCCATTTCAACACCTAGGCCACTTGAGGAAAGGGGTGGAAGGAGAACCAAATCCCTACATTCAGTAAATCATCATCTAGAATCATTGTTGAATGTAGACAGAGCTTCTCCCAGTGGAGCATCATAGCAGTTAATCTGTTCATCAAAGAATCAAGCCAATAAAATGAGTATCCACTGTTCATTTGTAAACTGGAGTCCTTATAGCTAGCAGGACCAGTGGATCCAGTTCTGTTTCCTGGGGATTTTTTTCCATAAGGAGTTGCAGAGGCCATGGGAAGGGGATAGGGGTGCCCTCTATTTTGGTTGGTTTTGAGTGTCTATTTTTTTTAAACATTAGTCTTTTTGATGAGCCACATGTTACAAAAGGAAAAATGTAAAAAAACACACCCCTCAAATTGCTTTGTTTCAGAATGCTTTTGCGCCCTTGACTGATGCCAAGACTAGGAGCCATGCTGATGATGTGGGTCTCGTTCTTTCTTCATTGCAGGCTAGTATATACCGAGGGGGATACAACCGTTTTGCTCCATATTAAATGGCAAAATCATTAACAAACAAACAAAAACAAACAAACAAAAACAACCTTCCAATGTGGGGAGAGAGAAAGCTTTCCGAGGCCTGAGTGTTGCAACACATGTAGTAGGACATCATTTTAGCAACTCAAAGAAAACAACAAAATAAAAAGAGGAAAAAAATACATTTTTTATCTTATACCTCAGATATTTTGTTCTGTGTATTTTAATATTGTGGGTCTTTGGTTTCTGAAGGTTCTCGTAGTTCAGTTGCTGGCTGTAGGAGTTTTTGTGGTTGATCTAGAGAGAGGCTAGATATGAATTAAAAACTGCTTTAGGGCCATATCCAGAGTACTATATTATGTAAATGAATTATATGCCGAACATGAGGCTACTGGGGTTAAGGTGTTTGGGAGGAGTCTAGGTGACAAGTCATTCTTTCTGCATCTATATTATTTTATTCTGTGAAGGGGAGGCCGGGAGGGGCTTAGGGGTTTGGGACTAGGGTTTGGCTGAAAGAAAAATATATATATATATATATAGTAACTGATGAATCTAAATGACCCACTGCACCAACGATCATAAATCTACGGTTCTAAGTTACTCCCGGCAAAGTCAAGCCAAAGGCTCTGTTAAGAAACTGCTTCTTCTGGCACTGAGATTGGAGGTGAAGGAAGCTGTGTAAGTCCACCCTCTTATCATTCCACCCACACTACTCAGCTTCTTACCTACCCACTAGTTATTTAAGCAAAGACTACTAGTTAGGCCATCAATAAGCATTCTTTTTATATTTCTTCCAGTATGAGAAATTATTGATATCACTGCTGACTTTTATATTATGGGAGGGAAAATTAACATTAATAAAAAGGTGATTAAAAAAGCACTGTTTCTATTTTTTTCTTTTTTTCCAAAAAAAAGAAAGTAATAAAAACTTAAATTCTTTGTACCAGTTAAAATATGTATAAAATTTACATCTGTGCAGTGGAGTTATGTTCTAGAAACAGTCTCTGAGGCTTTAGTTTTAGCTTAGTAGATTAACTGTTAGAGACAGACGTATAATTTTTATGGAATTACATGATAATCATATCTGGATTTATAGTCGCATTTTACAAGTATCGCAATCATTGAATAGAGATAATCACGGTATTTTCATCAGCTTGATACTTTTTGAAAACATGACTGCGCTGTGAGCAACTTGCAATTTTTCATTCTGTGAGAGCCTGCCCTCCCCTCTCCCCAGTGCCCCAGGGTTATCTGAAACTGGTATCTTTACTTCTGTCTCCGAGGCCCAAGAGGATTGTCAGAAGGAAAGGAAAACAAGACTAAAAAACGACACTAGAACTCCCCCACCGCCAGAGAACAGTGTTTGTCCCATTCTTTCTTGGATGCAGGGCCAGAGCGACACAGCCGAAAAATTGCAGCTTGTGATTTTCTTCTGTTTGAATCCCCCCCCCATGTTGTCCTGTTTACAAGTTAACCTAAGTTGGGGTATCTGTCATGGGTCTTCCTGTTTTTGTATTTAAATTATAAAATATCAGCAAGCTGTCCCCCTGAGTAGCGTTACCGCCTGTGTGTGCAGTGCAGGCCCCATGGCACGCACTTTAGTAAGTTATCAACTCACGCTGTGAACCTGCCAATCCGCTGTAACAACCGCTTTAAAATCAAAACCAAACAAAACTTTAAAAAGAAAAAAAAAGTGTTTGTGATCCAGCTTTTCCTAGTCATCCTACGTGCATGCCCGTAAGATCGGTTGGATATTAAACCATCAATAAAGTTTCATGAGATTTGAAAACAAAGTTTCTGTAGCTTCGATATCTAAGACAGATGGTCATGGTTTGGGAAAGAAAGAAAAGGAAAGGGCGAGGAGGGGAAGGGAGAGAACCTGCTGAATTGATGAGAAGAGAAAAACCTAGAAATTGGTCTTTTTTCTCCTTTCTGAGTGGGGAGAGTCTGCGTGGCAGCATCACTCAAAAATTCTCTCTCCCCACCTGCTACAGTGGGATGGCCATGTGCGCAACTGGTTGATGTTGTCCAAGGCAACCATTCATTATGATGCTGTAGCGTTTGACCCCAGATGGGATAGCTAGTGGTAGAAAGGGGGCTGCAGAAGGATCAACAGATTCCTCCCAGTCGCCCCAGCTTTCCAAGCCCAGAACCTGCGTTGTGTATGAAATCACAAACATGGAATTCTTACTGTGCTGGCTAAAGTAAAACTCATTTGCAGTTTTGATTTTCATCAATGAAATGTACTTTCCCCCATGACTGTATGTAGTTTTAATAAAATCATTTAGAGCAAGTGGGTGCCAACCGATGTCGCAGAATCTTTTGTCTAGGCACTCTGCTGAGCTGCCGATAAGTCGTTTTAAAATGTCATGTCAGAGGTGTAAACAAACCTTTTGGATTTTTTAAAAAACAACAGTATTTATTTGGAATGTTTTCATTTATCTAAATAACTATTGCTATTATGAATTATGAAAAAAGATTAATGTGGCATATAGTGACTTCTTAACACTCATCACTCAATCTGCAAACCCAGAAATGTGTATATCTGTCTTTAGAAATTAGTGTTTATATCACTTACAGTGGTTTGTGAATAAAGAAAACTGGTTTGTAATATCAAAAAATAAAAGCTTAGTCTGAAAAGGTACCTGTCAGTTGGTGGTCTCAGTTCTTCTGCCTCTGTGGATTTCTTTACAAGGTCAACATACACACACACACACACACACACACACACACCACAATCATCTGTATAATATGCTTGCAGCAACACTTCAGGAATGATAGGCTAATATTACAGGCAAAACAGTAGAGATACAAAGAGGTTAGTTAATGTAAGATCACAGAGCATGTGATGGAGAGAATTTCTGTCTGGCCAAGCATAACTTGAGAAGCAAGATTTTGACGCTGACTGTCTGCTGAATAACTTAGGTCTCCAGTCCTCTTTCTGTATCCAAGGTTGTCTGAATAGCATGAATTCTGAGGAAAGGTACCTGAATTAGCAAAGTGCAATCATGAGAACCAGAGTTCGGGTCCTTAGCACTCACACAAAACAGCTGGGCATGATGGCACCCATCTGTAATCCTAGCACTGAGGAGTTGGAGGTAGCAGGATCCCTAAGGCTCACTGGCCAGCTAGTCTTGCTGAATTGTTCAGCTCCAGGTTCAATAAAAGACTGTGTCATGCAAATCCTCTGTCTACTTCCTGGGAAGAAGGCTTTGTAAAAAGCCAGTCCTTCAGGGCTGGAGAGATGGCTCAGTGGTTAAGAGCACTGACTGCTCTTGCAGAGGACCAAGGTTTAATTCCCAGTACCCACATGATAGCTCACAACTGTATCTAACTCAAGTTCAGGGGATCTGAAGCCCTCTTCTGAATTCCACAGGCACCAGGCACACATGTGGCAAAAAGATATATATATATATTCAGGCCAAATATTCATATCACAAAAGTTAATTATAAAAAATAAGCACTTTGAATGAGCACCTCATGACCCCATGCATGAGCAGACTTTGGCACATAAACAAAATCCCTGCCCCATTAGGACGGTATCACATCAACATGAGGTTCCTGTACTTCCTCTCTAAGTTATGTCTGGTGAGCTTAGCACAAGGTAAACTCTTAGGCCACTTGGTTTTGTGGTCTCCCACATCAAAGAGCAATCACTGTATAGAAGGTACTATCTTCCAGGTGCCAGAGTTTCCAGTGATCAGGCCTGTGCTACACATACCTATTTGATATAGGTTTACACCTAAGGATATATCCACCTGAAATAAATATATTTATAGGCACAAACAGATTCAAATCTGTCTATGTGTATGCATTGTGTGAGCTGACAAATATGCAGGTTAGAAGTCACTCTCCAATATCATCTCTCAGGAGGTGTCCACCTGGAATTCTAAAGAGAGAATCTCTCATTGGTCTTAAGTTCAAGAAGCAGGCTAAGCTGGCCGGCCATCAGCTCCAGGCAGAGACTCAGCAGTCTATATCCCTCTAGCTTTAGGGTTAGGAACTTGTACCACCACACCTGCAGCTGGAACCTTATGTTTACATGTGAAGCTTTGCCACCCATGCTACCTCTGCTAATTTATTTTAATTTGTTTTAATAGGGTCTGGCTCTGAACACAGTATTCCCCTGCCTAGGCCTCCCAAGTGCTGAGATTTCAGGCATTCACTATAGCCATACCTAGCTCTAATATTTTAAATATATTTAGATATGTTTATTAAGTAAATATTTTCAATTTTATGCCTAACACATAGCTCCCTAGGCATATGCTCATTCAATTAAAGTAGGTGAGCAGCAAATGGGATTTGTTACTATTATTCTCATCATAATTATTATTTTGATCTTCCTTAGCCTTCAGTGGTTAAGGTATAGTACTGCCACTACTAGCCACTGGAACTGGAACTCAAGCAAGCTGGGGAAATGCCCAGGGAGAGAAGCTCTATCCAGCTGGCTGGCTGTAGAATGTCTCATGCTCCATACTAATACAGGTTTCGCATCCATTCTGAACTTAATCCTTGCAGGAACCCAGGTAAGTAAGTAGCCTCTTGTCCCAAAGCTTATGAGCACTGGAGATACAGGCCAAATCCAGCATCCTTCCTCTTTAGCATACCACACTCTCAGAGAGGTGTCCCTCCAGTAACTGCCTGATGAACTCTGACCTAGATCAGGGCCACTTGAACGCTTTCCATTCATGATCCTTTTTCCATCAAGAAAATTTTGATATGACTCTAGGTATATAAGTGTGTAAAAATAAATATAAAATCAGTCACTGGTAAACATCACAAAGAAACACATTCTACAAGAGTTGTGGCATGCTTAATGCAACATGTATTAAAGAGCAGATATGTACACCAAAGATGCATGGGCTTTTGCTTCATGCAATCCATTCCAAAGTTACACCAATTTGATATTAACATGCTAAGAGATGATGACAGGAAAATGTTTAAAGGTGTTTGCTTTTCATAATTAAACTATGACAATTCTAGAAAAGTGGAAAACTTGTATGTACTGTGAAAACACCACAACTGGACCAGCAAGATAGCTCAACAGAGTAGAAGTGCCTGCCACCAAATCCAACAACTTGAGTTCCTCTCCAGGATCCATCTGGTAACAAGAGAGTACCAACTCCCAAAAGTTGTCCTCTGACTTCCCAATGCACCCAATAACACATGCACTCCCCCCAACACACACACACACACACACACACATACACAAAATAAATAAAAACATAATAGAATGTATAAAGCTACAATTCATAATATACAATGGTCTCAAATCTAAGCCAAGGTGTTTCGGGCATCTTTAGTGGTGTGGCATGGTATGACAGCATGCACAGTACAAAGTGCTTGTGTTGTGGGCTTAGAACTAACACCGCAGTGAAGTCTCAAGATGTAGCATAGGTGAGCACTTTCAGAAACAGCTTGGATTCATCTTACTTTGGTTTGAATTGTTTTTTAGTCAATGTGCAATCAGAAACCTTTCAATCTTGCCACAATATAGGGAGGAATTCCCACACTAACCCAGAGGTAAAGCAACGTTTGCCTAGCACAGTGGTTCTCAACCAATCTAGTTGTGTGACCCCCAACCATAAAGTTATTTTCGTTGCTACTTCATAACTGTAATTTTGCAATGTTATGAATTGTAATATAAATATCTGTATTTTCCGGGGGTCTTAGGCAACCCCTGTGAGAGGGTCATTTGACTCCCAAAGAGTTCTAACCCCACAGTTTGAGAACCCCTTGTCTAGGGGGGAACAATACCACAAAGGCCCCCAAAGACTGCCTTCCATTCTTCCTTCTGCACACCCATGAGCAGACATACCACTGCTTCCAGGATCATCCCTCAGGACACCTAGAATGTGATGGTGACTTTGACAGCCTAGCTCTCTGACTGAAACAGACAGATGGTGTATCGCCTGAATGAAGCAAAAAGTCAGAAAGAGCAAGAGTATTCCCCAGGCTCAAGAAATGAAGGGAAAAAATAGCAGGTGTAGGTAGGAAATAGAAGTGCAGAGACCCAAAAAGTAGGGTAATGGTGCTAAGCAGGCAGGGAATGACTGGGAAGGCTCAGAATGCAAATTGAAAGCTCAGCCTCCAGATGCCAGCAAATGTTAAATCTCCCAGAGCCCCAGCATCTCAGCTCCCATTCCCTGCAAAACCCACCTTCAAGCATACTGTAATAACTGCAGGTAGCCAAGCCCCTTCCTGCTCACACATGGATAGTCAAACTTTTCTGCAGCCCTACCAGGACGTAGTTAGAACTGAGAAAGCAGGTCAGAGACATAGTGCACAGCTTGCCCTTTATCTCCTGCAAACACTCCCAGGCTGACTAGAGTGAGGTATTGCAATTCATTACTGGGAGGAGGACTTCTCCCAGAACCCTGATGTGATAGGGCTGGATGGGACTGTCAGTGGACCAGCTGGCTGCTGCTTTCTTCTTTTCAAGTTTCCTAAGCTACATGACTAGATGATGTATTGTTCCTCCAACCAGTTCCTGTTGTTGAAAGACCCATGCTCCTCTCACTGGTGTGTATGTGTGTGGTGGGGGGGGGGTAATTCAGAAAGACAGCTAAAATGATGCTTTACCAACAAAAGTGGAGGCATAGGAAAAACAAACCTACAAATCTTCCCATTTTTGTTACATCATCCAAATACTGATTTCCATGGTTATTTCTGCCTAGTACAGTGAGGAAAAGCATAAAGCCTTTCTTTTAGGAAAGCAAATTTTCTGATACTTAAAACAAAATGACTCACCCAAGTTTGTGTATGTGTGTGTGTGTGTGTGTGTAAGAGAGAGAGAGAGAGAGAGAGAACACAGAAATGGGTGTCTTCTATTAAACCAAAGACTTAATTATAACAGTAGCAAAAATGGAAGAATGGACAGCAAAATTTAGTGGGCTAAAGGGATTTTTACTGTTTTTTAATAACTTCTGGGTTAATTTGTTTTGTTTCTTCTACCGTCCTCACACTTGTTCTCATCAACTTCACCATCTTTGTTCATCTTCTCTTCTACCTCCTACCTCTTCCCCAAGATGTTAGTCAATTTAATGAGCCTCCCTGAGCTTTCATGTTGGTGAAGTCCTTCATCGGGCTTCAGAGTAGGTTCAAGACTGCACAGCCCTGAAGCTCTAGCATCTGGAAAAGCCATTTGCCTCTGTCTTGCGAACAAACATCAAACTCCATATTTGAAAGTGAGACATTGGGCTTGATAAAATAGACAAAGAATCCCAAATGAGGCTAGATTAAAAAGCACAGAGGTGTCGCTCACTTATTGAAATACCTGAACATCTTCACAGTGTTCTGCAGTCCGTGTGCCCCACCAGTACCACCCAGTAAAGTCCTGGCAACCTGTGCTTTGGGTCTGCAAGGCAGCAAAATGCGTCCAGGTCCCTCGAAATACTAAACTTCAAAGCCACTCAGCCACGTGTGTGGGTCCCATTCATTGCACCTGGCCCTGGATAGACATGACCATATCCAACCCACTTCCTCTTTAAGAACATGGGGGAACTCTGGTTTCCCTGAAGTCTGGTCTACAACAAGGTTCTCAGAGTACAGGGACATGGGAGGAGGGCCCTAAGGCCCCGCCTCACTGTTCTTCCCCTTCCACATGCCTCAACCATGCTCCTTTTGCCCCCCCCCCATACACAT